TTGATTTGCCTTGATAATTAGATCATCGATTTCAGTGTAGTGAATGTGGAAAGCTCTTCTCCTGTGCTGGAAGTTTGAAGACTCACACCCAATCTGTTCATGAAGGTGAGTTTGTTGTTCTTTGTGTTTATTTTTTGTCACTGTTTCGATGATGTATTTTGCGTTGTAATAGTGGCTGATGGACTTGGTGACTAACAGAAACTGTGGTGCTGCCTTTTATATGAAATATGTTTAGTGTCAATGTGCTTGGGGAATATGTGAAAAATTTGTCTTGTTGGAAACCTGAACGTGCACCACTTCGAATCACATGGTTTTATGGCTGAGTGGAAATTTTCTGTTAAAAAATGTTATCGAGGATTCCGACCGCACAATATCGTACTGTTTCCTATCAGAGTGAAGTTAATAAGTGTCTATCTATATTGTGCTTATTTCCTATTCTCAATTCAACACGTTCGGTAGGATTTAATTGAAAAAAATCTGGTCATAGTGTGTGTTTCATGCCTCAAATTTCGCTGATGACGTTTATTTAACATTGAGAGTATGTTGGAAATGAAATTTTCGATTGACATGGGATTTGTGGCTTCGAATGTGTGGTCTTTGTTTGCGGATAGATGAAATGGTGATATTCTTTATCAACTGGTTATTTATCTGTGTTTAAGAGAATATTTTAAATTTGACAGTCTGCAGATATAATGCAAGTTCTAATGAGATATCATTCCATCCTGAAAATCTTTATTTCTAATCAGAATCTGCATTGTATTCTAGATTGAGTCGAACATAGATTTTCAGTAGCCGATCTCCATGTCACTGTTCCCTGCAGTCTTCGGTGGCTGGCTCCACAATTGCTTGTCAATCTTGACTTTATTGTCAAACGACCTCCTCAATGTCACCATCGGGACCACGTCGAAGTCGTCGCTTCCTATTTGTGTCTCACTCGAGGGTGTATCAGGTGAAATCCTCCGTCAATCTACTCATCCTGTGTGTCTTATGCATCTCTGTTTCCTTGTGAATATTTGTTAGACGATTGGTTCTCTCCCAGAATTCCTTATTTCCACTCCTTTCTGGCTGGCCATTTGATCTTCACTGTCAAATTAATGGGGCAGCAATTGATGTAAGTTTGCAGTAAGTAGCATGTTGGAAATTCTTTTGAAACTGCTTGCACTATGTCTATGAACCATATAAAAGCACTGATTAATTTAGGATTAGTGTTGAGAATTCGATTCTTCCCTGTGGTGAGTTCTGTAGATCTCTACATCGACTTCTGACCTTACTAATCGTGGCTACTCATCTGTTCCGCCTCCTGTAGTTGAAATGATGCGTCCTATCTCGGTGAGCGAAGGAGATGACCTCCTGTAGATTTCCTCCTTTGATGGTGGCTGTCATTTGTTGTTGTTGATGTTCGGGTATTTTCCTCACTTCTGCCCTCTATGTTCACCTGCGTCACATCGTTGCTGCTTCTCCTGCCAACTTACTGGTTTTCTGTTGTATATCTTCGAGTTTGTGAGACAAGACAATAATCATCCTCGATATGCAAAACTCTGGCGGTCCAACTTATGGTCGTCCTCTCACATCCCACAGCTTGTTATATAATCTAATCCACCGTAATTTTTATTGTCACTGACGATATGAAATATCTGTCTTACTCGTGACTTCACAAGGAGGCTTTAGTAAGCTTACTGTTGTGGATCATTATGCAAACAGCTAGCGGGAACGTAAAGAAGATGTGTTGACCATATTATTATTTCTTTAGCATAAAGCGAATTAACTGCTAATTGCGTATTACACAAAATATGTTTCGGAATGTGTCGAGAAATGAATTTGGTTCGACAAGGTTGACAACTGAGATAACAGGATAAAATTTGGTTTACATTAGTCTGTAATGTGTGTATGTTATGGTGTAAAAGTACCTCGGGGAATGCAAATGTATGCAGGTTATTATGTTATATGTGGAAAATGGAGTTCAAAGTGTACAATAATTTTTTCAGACTGGTAATGCTCAGTGACGTTGGTTGTTCTCACGGCGAAAATTGAATTGTACAATTAAGACAAGAGGTGCAAAGTTCATGATATTAGTTAATCAGTTGAGTAGTAGCATGGCGTGTTGAAGTCAAGTGGTAGACACATAAAACAAACAAACAAACAAAATTACTTTGAAGCGAGAATGGGTGCGGGCAAGGCCAAAAAATGAGGGGAAGACATTAGACATGGGGTTAGCAGGACAAGGAAAGACTGATGGGTGAACACAAAAATCAGCTCTTAACCGTTTAATAGCGAATTCTTCAGGAAATTTGAGGAGAATGGAGTCATAATGTCTATCAAATGTTTAAAAGGATTTCATATTGTCTATCTCATTACTCATATGAACAATATGTTTAGCAATTGCACTATTCAAAGTATTTCTTCACTTGTGTCGTAAGCTGATTGGTACATGTTCAAAGAATCCAAGATATGTCCTTCTTTCTGATCTCCTCGTATTACTGCTGCTGTGAACACATAAATTTGTATACCTAATTACAGTTAACATGAGTAGAGTATCTATCAACCTTTGATTGCATACAGGAGTATGTCGTCAGTTAAATGAGAACCAACTTTGTTGCAGGATAGCTTCTAGTTAGAGATGTACTTGTCTCTAAAGCCTGGAGGTTTTATCAGATGTTAACCGTTCATTATGGTCACATATCCTGCCTCAGTGTTATTGTGCTTGTCACCCTGAGTTTTGTTCTCTGCAGTCACTCTTTCTGTCAAGTTAGTGGGAACTTTTGGAGTAATTTCTTCACTCTTATGTTGGGAGGCTGGTTTTAGAAGAGTAGGATTAAGTTTAGCATTTTTAGTTTCCGTAGAAATTTGAGTTGTCTTGTCATCTGCCTCCTCTTTCTCGTCGTCATCACTATCGTAGTTAACGTATTCTTCTTGACCATCGCCTCCGTTAACGTGAACATCATCTATCTCTCCATCATCTAGCTCACTATCGACTACTTCATCGTATTTGTCATTCTTCATTGTCATCGTTCTCATAGGACATGTCGCCTTCCTGAATGCCTCATCCACATTCTCCTCGTTCACAACATGATCCGTAGATATCTTCATTGAGCGTCTGTCAATCATATTTTCTCAGTATGAAAATTGATAACTAAAGCTACCCAAACGGACTCGTGTTCGGAACTCAGGAAACCTATTTCTGCGTCCTTCTTTATGCGTGAATAAAATCCTTTGGGACGCACACAGTCACACAACGCTCCAAGAACAGCGAAAATTCTATTATTCGTATTTCACTCTTTTCAAAAAAAATAATGATACGAAGGACTCAAAATCGCCTCACCTGTGCCTGGACTTCAGTAACTTCGTCACATTTAAAACTTCTGCTTTTGTCGGAGGATTGGTGTGCACTGGTAGGCAGTTCCGTGCGTCTGTTGGTGTTAGTGGTGTTTTCGGGCGATTTGCAGGTGCTGGTCAATTCAAGAGTCCTTTAAAGTAATCAGCCCACTGTGTGTTTTTTTTCTTCTCCCTGGTAATGGAGTCGCATTGAACATCTTTTTTAGTCGTCGTCATCTTGGTCGGTTTCTTCCCGGATGGCGGTAGACTTGGTTATCTGATATAATATTCTGAGGTGTCTTCTGCCTGCGGCCTGCCTGTTCTGCTTCAGTTGCCTTCCGGTGTGTCGTAGAATTGTCTTTTGTCTTTCCTCGAACTCTTCTTCACTTCTTTATTCAATGCAGTGTACATTAAACTCAACTCCTCCTGTTGTCCATCTTTGTATTCAGTCAACTCCTCTTTCACTATTGTCCTCTCCACGATTAGCTTGCAGGTATCCGTTGAGAGTCATTCTTTGTCTTGCCTCCTCTTTCTTTCAAAAATAGCTTAAGATGTTTTCTTAGTTATCACTTTCAGAGACTTGCAGTTTTCCCACAAAACTTTCTTGAATGATTATCTACTACAACTTAGCTCCAGTGAAGGTGTCCTTTGTAGTTTCGTACTTCCCTTTTTGAGTGTTGAACTTGAATTGTAGTCTGTCTATGGTTCCTTAGAAGGCTTTCAGCTTGACCTTGATGGTGTTTTTAAACTAGTTATTGGTTTAAACTCACATGTGCTCCCATTCTTGAGGTTTTCAAAGCAGTTAGATTAATTAATTGTTTGCTTCATATTTTGTTCAACAGGATACGTAACTGGATCATAGAAATTGTTATTAATATTGTAGTCAATTATTTATGTGAATAGAATCCATGTCTTCGTTATAGTTCAATCGTATAAAATCTACAGAACTGTGATTAATGTGAAGATGAATCGTGACTAATAAGTCACCGAGCACTCCAAAGACAGCGAAAACATGATTATTCTTGGTTAAATGTGTGTTTGCTTCCATTCAACAACGATAACATCAAGAACTGAAAATTACCTGAACAATGGTGATAAGCAGCTATGCAGTGAAGATAATTTTCTAAGTAGAAAACAAGTGCCGTAGAACGAAATGAGTTGACCGAAATTCAAGCGTAAGAAGTACCTTAAAATGAAGCAGAATGTTGCCACTAAGGTGAGGTCGAGAACTGTGTCCACAAGAAACACGCACCGACAGTCTCACCAGATAATCCAAGATCAGAATAGCCCACATTCACGCCAACAAGATCACATCGTCAAGCAATAGATTATCAATGTATTGGACAACCACAAACAGATGCATTAAAATTTGAGTTTGAACAGGGAAAAGAGAAATGGTAAGGGTCATTTCGACGTATGATATTCCAACTTCAGAACACCGACATATGTTGTCATTCGATTGTTCAGGATGGAATTTCGGAACAATCTTTCTGTTACACCGACCACTCAAATCGCTGTAAATAATTTAATGTGTAGTGGAATAGGATGTGATTCCTATAGGCGTCTTACCAGTTTTATTATTACTGAAGGGATTATCATAACAAAACCATACTCCTCTCAGTTAACTCAACAGACTCCCAGTGACTATACTAACTTTTCCCCTTTTCGTATTTCATATCCATGATTAGGTAAAAGATACCAATGTGACGTATGTGGAAAAGATTCCACTACAGCTGGCAGTTTGAAGAGACACATGGAGTCAGTCCATGGAGGTGAGTTTGTTGTTTTAAGTGTTTATTTTGTGCAAGAGTTTCATGTTGACTTGATGAATTTCACCTTTCACTACTATGTCACATACACGACCGATGTGGTTTCACCCTTTCCATTTCAAGAGGTTGGTGCAGGTGTAGCGTGTAAGTGTTCTGCCTACGATTCGGTAATTTTGCAAGAATTTCTTTTCTGAAATGCATTTCTGAGAATCGGCTTCCACGATTTTATTCGTTGATGATTAGCATGGCTGGGATTGCAGGATATATCGTATGAGTTCAGTCACCGGTATTTTCGTGTAGTTTGTTCTTGTAAATTCACCTCCTTGGTTAGTGGCCGTATGTTGTGTAACTCACTAACCCACCGTTTCGACTACATTTCTTTTAATTTTGCCAATGCTATCTGTGATTGTGCTGTTTATATCGTCGAGAAATGATGAATAAATGTGAATGACTGTATTATGTCGGTCGTGAAGTGAAATAATGTAATGCTGTTTGCTGTTTAACTTGATGGACTTTAACACTTCATTGAGGACACCATTCAGAGGAAACGATGAGAACTCCATCATTTATTTGAATGTCTTCACTTCCAAACAATTTGAGTATTGAAGAATAGAAATGTAAATATTAAATAGTAGTTATAGTAATACAGCTTTATCTCAGATCATATATAAACATATAGTAGAGAAATGCTCGGCGTATTAAGTTCCGAAATATTTCAGCTGAGTTGAGGATTAACTTACAAAGTAATAATCTTAAGTATATTATGTGACGCAATCTTGATGCATATGAAGAGATAACCAGTTTTGTACATTTTGTCTTCATTTACTTCACGAATTGCGAAGCGTTCAGTTGGAAGTTGATTGAATGAACGCACAAATTCATGTAGTAGTCACCTGATATAATTGCACTAAGAAATACAGAAGAGATTAGGCATTCTGATGCATGGAATGTCTGGTAGCCTAGTGATTAAATCAGGCTGCCGTTTGATTGAAAGAATCAAATTTATACTTGCGTTGTCTTCTTTATGTGATCAGTGTTGTTGTTTAGGCAGTGGAGTCACTTTTGGAGTAGAGTATCAGAACAAATACCGCCTTCACTTTAGTTGTTTCAATCAAAAATGCATACTCTTATCTTCACCACTACAGGTTAGTATACGCATTTCTTTTGTCTCATACTAATCGGCCAAGTGTCGTCAGTTGATACATGCAATACTAATACATGCGTTTAGATGGATGGTTCATGAAAACAAATACTTTTGACCCTGTCGCTTAATTCTGTCAGAAAAGGATTATAGATTTTAAGTCGACGGTGTGGACACACTCGAGTCATATTTTAGGTGGAGTAATGGCGAAATAGATGTGGCTAGTCGTATTTACACACTTTTGTGTGAACGGTTTAAAACAGAGCATCTCAGAGAGAATTCACTACATCTGTTGATACTCCATGTTTCATAGTGTGCCAACCAGTCGATTGGGCACGCACCTACAAGGGTGTTTGTAAATCAGTGTGTGAAGAAAAGATGTAAATGAGAGGGATTAATAATTTTTCCCAAATTCCACTTCACTTGAAAATGTCAGGGAACGTAGGATGAAATTTTCAAGAGAAATTCTATAAGTAATATTACTCACTTGGCGTTTCATGCTGTGTCCAAACGCAGTCCATCTCGGAGGAGATAGGACAAACCATCGATTTAAGTGTTTTCGTCCTCATTTCCAGCTCGATTACGGTCGGCCATATAATTAAGTCATTGAGATGAATTCACAGAATTCAAGTGGATGTAAATGATTGGAATCCGAAACTCTGAAATGCTGAAGCAAATGTGTTGCACGTGTTGTTGTATAGCCGATGACTGCACATCTGGACATTCCTGTATTTCATTATTAGGTGATAAGTATGTGGTACATTTGGAGGGACTGAGTGTGTTTTAGAACGGTGTGAACATTGTGAGTAGGGATAAATCAAAACGAGATTAGTTCCGGTGTCATTTAGCGTATGATCACAGCGAAAGTTGATAACAACTGTGAAGGTGAATTGTTTTCTGATTTGGTATAGCACAAAATGTGTTTCAGAGTCGATCAATAAGTGATGGTACGATCAGTTTCTCGAGGGAAATTGTGGTGGTGTGATACAGACAATGTGTTCTCCTGGAATATTATTCTGAGGTATTCCCACAGTTCAATACTGCATTCAATATATCTATTTGAACATTCGATTTGATATTTTTTTGACCAATCACTGAGCGTGTGATTTTGGTTCACATCAAACAACATGAAACAGAATGTTCAAATATACATAGCAGTCTTTTGTTAATGCAGTATACAACCGTGTGGAAAGTATTCGATAGACTACACCGTAGGATGAAAGTTGTGATGACATAATGACTAACATGTAAATTCAGACTAAATAATCCTTAGAGTGAATACTGTAACGTACTAATCTCCGGTGACAGATGACACGGGTGAGAATGGAATTTTGAGTTGCTCTCTTCTAGGTGGGAGAACGTGAGCTGTCAAATGCACATGTAAGTTTTCAACGACAGTGTCACGTATTGAAAATTGTCTCAAGAACTCTCTCCACTATTTTGATCAGATCAAGTCATTCAATGTTACCTGTCAGATTCAAGTCTATTCGTAGATGTCGAACTTGTGTATGATTGTTTTTCCCTACATGTTTAAGTTTGTAGTGTTTTGCTTCAAGGAATCCTTTGATCAGCAAACATAGATCTTGATGTGAGTTTCCATCGAAACTGTGTGTAGTAGTGTGAAAGAACTCTCGACGAATCATACTGAGGTCAAGGATAATTAGGGCAAACAGTTGTTCGCCATAAATCGTTCGTCAGTATCTATGATTTTGATTGCATTAATTGCAACATACAGCTGGTGGTAAAATTAGTTTGGAATTATGCTGATAAGGGAATTGTGGTTGAAATATCGGATCAGAAACAAGCGGATCAAGCAGTTACAGTTAGTCAGAAAGAGAAAACGAATTTACATACAGCTGACTGCTCTACGTTCTTATTTGGACAGCTGTGCTTGTGGGTATTCATGATCGTATCTAGGCAATGTCTAGCAAGTAAGGCCTGTGTGTGTGCACTGAACTTCAAAGGAGCAATGGGATTTGTAATAATACATTAAACTTACCAACGGTGACATCTCGTGTTTGATGTTTTGGTTAACAAGGCGAGAGCTGAGAAGTTGTTTGAAAGCAGTCTCCTCAATTCACTTCTGTCCAGGAGACTGATTGTAGACTGATTCAGTCCACTTACGTCTGATAAGAATGTGGATACCTCGCAGATAAGTTATCATTTCATTATTAAGAGTCTCAAATGTCCCTGACTGTTCATTAGACTGGAGTCTATCACGTATGCCAGATTCGTTGGAATTATTTTGATCTAAATGAAAGAAAGTGCTAGTTAAGGAAAGCATGGTGAAATTACCACGAGATATACCTATTGAAACAGGATTTTACATAAAGCTGACTGGTGAGGTGAAAGTGCATATCTTAGTGTCAATTGACAACAGCAGACGTTTCATCAAATTTCGAAAGCTGTCTGTTCCTGATTGGGAAACTCACAAGTGTTACCGATAAGGTGAAGTGAACACAGAGCCATGAGCTGTGCTAAGCGTTTCAGGATTCTTCCAGTGGAAGAATTTAAGTAGTCTGTTTACATGCCTTCTCTCAGTGTAGCAATCACAACCGGTGTGTTGTAGTCTAGACATAGGAAGCCCATCTCTGTGTTTTACTGTACAGCTTAAAATATCTCCTTGAGACAGTAACAGTCACCGAGCTCTCCAAAGACAGCGAAAACATGATTATTCTTGGTTAAATGTATGTTTGGTTCCACTCAACAATGATACCGCCAAGACCTCAAAATTGCCTGAACAGTGCCGTTAAGCAGCTATGCAGTGAAGATAATTTTCTAAGTAGAAAACAAGTGCTGTAGAACGAAATGAGTTGACCGAAATTCAAGCGTAAGAAGTACCTAAAAATGAAGCAGAATGTTGCCACTAAGGTGAGGTCGAGAACTGTGTCCACAAGAAACACGCACCGACAGTCTCACCAGATAATCCAAGATCAGAATAGCCCACATTCACGCCAACAAGATCACATCGTCAAGCAATAGATTATCAATGTATTGGACAACCACAAACAGATGCATTAAAATTTGAGTTTGAACAGGGAAAAGAGAAATGGTAAGGGTCATTTCGACGTATGATATTCCAACTTCAGAACACCGACATATGTTGTCATTCGATTGTTCAGGATGGAATTTCGGAACAATCTTTCTGTTACACCGACCACTCAAGTCGCTTCGTACACCTTAAGACAACTTTTCAAGTATTCTGTCGTGTCTATGTCTCTTACTTCTGGTGTCCAGGACTTACAACAAAACGCCTGCATAACCTCATCTTAACCTAAATGAAGAAGGCGATGTCTTTTTACACGCCTTTTACGACATCTTTCCTACTCTGAAGAACAAAATCCACAGGAAGTTTCGCGAGGTCTACTGGCAATAAGAGAACACGTATAATTGGCTCTTGTTTAGTGGAATTGGATTACACGTATTGTAAGCTGACTATACCCAAGCATGGAGGATCCACCTAAATAAACTGGTGTCAAGCATTGGAGCAGTTAAGCGAAGACAAGCTGTCTAACCAGTGAGATCATCAGGTGATGCAGATAGTTGCAAGTAAACGTGAAGTTCTCTCACGTGACGAGAGCATATTATCATTTACAAACTGCGAACTATCGACAGCTAGTATATGTTGATGCTGTTCAACAGATATATGCGGTATAGGTTATTGATCAGATTTCATATCAGATTTTTGAATTTCAGAATTTAATTTCTTCATAATATGTCTATACTTCAAGTATAATGGTTCTAATAAAGCTACATGACAACTGATTAGACTAAGATTGAAATGCTTAGTGAATATCGGCCAAAGATAACAAACCGGATCATTCCAACTTGACATTTTATCCGAAGTGAGATATTCCTGTGT